CTCCGTATCATTTTTCACTAAGACAAACTCTGCTGCTAAAAATGCGTTAACTTTTAAAGCATGCTGCCGATTTAGAATTTCTGGCAATTGTGAAACAAACTTTTTTTTCCGCAGGGTACAGAAATTTTACTACATCCAAGTGCTTGCTATTTACAATAATGACAGTTCTTATACGATTTTGAAATGCACTATCAAGTTTATTTTACACTACAGTAGTATCATCATTATGGATTGATATATGAGCAAGACCATGTCCTTGAATTTCCAATTTAAAAAAAAACGTTTTCACAAAAGTTGTTATGAGACACTCAATATTCAGTAACTTTTGCTTAATGTGTGGTGACAATTTCAATGATTGCAGATAGTTTTCAATACTTCCAAGCACTATCACACTATTATTAACTTAATCTTAAATATTTGTTGTAGTTTCACCATTTAATAGTTGTTGATATTCTACTCGCACTATTTCACAAAAAATCACAAAATTTTCGACACAGCAGTCAGCATTAGCAGAATTATCAAAAAATCGCTCCGTGATGCTAACACCGATTACTATCACCCTCCAATGATTCCAATGGTGCTTTGACATATATTTTCAGCTCTCTGGTTACATCGATAAAAGCGCTTTGTAGTGGTGGGGCAACAAAAAAAAATGTAATGTGAGTATAGTGTATAAAATGAGGTTGTAAGTAAGTAATTCTGTTAGTTGATTGTTAGTTGTACTTGCTTGAAGATAATTAAATACGTGATTGATATGCAAGGCTTTCAGACTATATTTAATGAATTTATTTTTTAAGACGTAGCAATTCTTCCTTTAGAGGAAGAAGATTCTACGACAAAAGTATTCCTTTTCAAGCCCCCCCCCCTCCTACATCCGTGGCTAGCTAAGGCCTAAAAATAAACGTGAAAATCTATGGTAACAGCGTTACTACCATGATCTTCTTTGGGACTCTGTAGAAGTGCCCTATTAAGATGTAATAATCACTGTTTAGTCTAGTATTAAAGAAGACGACAAAATTTATGTTAAAGTACTTGAAAAAACAAAATGGCTTCGTCAGGTGCTCCTCAATAGGCTTATGATTTTTACAACCCAATGTAAAAAATGTATACTTAATAAAGGATCATAAATAGAAAATAAAGGACGTTTGTCTCCCTCTTACGTTCATTAACAACTTTGAAGAATGTTTGTCGCTGAAACAATTTAACATGATTCATGTGACATGTACAAATCATACATTTAAATTAGCCTACTGTGCTGTGAAGAATGCTGCAGCTATGGAAATTAGTATATATCAAAAATAATAAGGCTTAACAGATAAACTGTTCTTAATATGAAGTAAATTTATAGAAATTTAAAATACAGTCAACCAACTTTGTTCACCACTGCCTATGAGAAGTGACATTGTCTTATGTGCAATAATAAAATGATCACAAAAAATCATCTACAAGTGTTGATTTTTTTATCCCCATCCTCTTAAGCCACTTTGCTCATCTACTTCAGGTAAGATGCTAATAATTTTAGTACGAGTGTATAATGTGCGTATCACACATAAATATGTGTGCCTATGTAAGCTAATGTACTTCGGCAGAGCTTTCCTCGTTTAACAAGATCTATTCCTTGCTATTTCGTGGTCGGATACACTTTATTTACACTCATACCTTGGCAACTGAGCCACTGTAACAGGTCACTTTTATTTATACAACATATTGACTCAGTTCTTATCGCTTTATCTGTCAGATCTCATCCAACCGAAACAGAGACTCCTATCTCTAAATAGGCGAGTGCAAAATACGGAATGAACATCTTAGATGTGCACTAATAAGTAAATATTTTTTACGTATCAAAATACGTAACCATTTTTTATTTCAGCACGGGCATCTTTAATAGTAAATTTTGCACAATGCTTTTGCTCTCTTCTTATTGAGTCATAATGAGTATCACCTTACATTGTAATTTAGTAAGCAAGTCAACTATAGATAAGGGTTTAAAGTATACATGGACGCATTCGTTTATATTTACAGTAAGAACATACAACTCTCCACTATAAAAATTTTTTATAACAAAAAGATCTGCTGGAAAAGGATGCAGTTGTTGAGATGCTTTTGAGGGAGAAAGCAGCCGTTCCTAACGATACCCCTACACCCTTAACCGAGAGTGTAACTTTACCAATAGTAAATCCTAGATTTGATCTATTGTTAAGGTCGAAGCGTTGCCAACGGCCTCCTTTTAAGTGTGTTAGAGAAAACGTGGGTGTAAAAATTTTACTGTGGAAAAATCATTATAGTTTTTTTTTAATTGTGGGTCATTTCAGTGGAAAACTTGAATTGTGTATTACCAGAACTTAAAACTGACGGGAATATATGGAGACCTTACAACTTGTATTTTAAAGCTAAAAGTAACGCAAATCCGTTACACATGATTTTACACTTTAAAAAAGATATTTGCAGTGTTTTGCACTGCTGTAAACTTTTGAAGTAAAGCGTGGAGGACAGAAGAAGATTTATCTTCTGAAATAGTAAGTTGTTCACTCCTACTTATTTTTTTAAAAGAAAAGTCATTTTTTTATTTTTTTTTTATTTTTTTTACAGCAGTGGTATCAGCAGCAATGTAAGAAAATTTATTCTCTACGTCATGATTTTAATTTATTTTTGATAAACATGATGCAATATTGCAACGAAATTTTGGATGAATATTTAATGTATGACGATTTTACAAACTATGATTTACGTAAGCATATTTCACCTCAAGAAAAAGAAGAAAAAGAGAGTTGGAATAAATACATCACAAATCTCAAGTTAAAAAAACTATATTTGTGTCAGGCTAGTGTGACATCCCCTCATAATGATAAGCAGTGCAACAACTTAAGGTATCACCATACATCATTGTATAGTAAACACAAGAATATAAAAAAACACAAGGTTTTACACGGACTCATGAAGGTCTTGTGTCGTATTTAGAACTACTGTTGTGGAGACAGTATTACTTTGTATTTAATTCAAGCGACAAAGGACATAAAAAGTGGGAGCGTGAACTGGAATTATTTAGTCGCCACTATTATTTTCACAATGGTTTGATGAAAAAGATAGATTGCAACAAAAATCAGCGTGAGGAGTTGTGTCACCTGGTGCCGGGATTTTTTTTACCTTAGATGGTGAGTTAATAATGTATAAAAGAGTGTGTGCGTAAATATGTGTTCTTATAAACATACGTATCAAGTTTAGTTTGCGTGCTCATATGTAAGCTTATTTGTAAGATGTGTGTTTTTACACAATACATGTATGAAAAATATATTTCTTGTATTTATTTAAAAGTCCACAATTCTATGCACCCACTCTGAAGAAAAAAAATAGCACGTAAGTGGGCAAGCATTAAGCGATTGGGAAGATAAGGGTATATTTACTAGGGAAATATAAGCACGGGTACGGGAACTTACACATGCTTGTACGTGTATGTGCATTTTTATGCATGCACGTATAGGTGAGTGGTTAAAGTGGGGGCCTCCTTGCAAGTACAACACATGGGATCGTCCCCTTCCTCGGAGCGGAAGTAAGCCAGATACCATCCAGCATCAGCACTTACACATGTGCGAACACGTGTGTGCATTTTCATGCGTGTTGGTTAGTGGTCCCATCCCGAAACAAATCTAGAGAACAATACAACACTGGAAAAGGGAGCGCGGATAAGCTCGTGCAATATAGCTCGGCTGATTCGCTTTTGTGGCACTTACCCTCCGCCTTCAGAGCCCCATACCCTCGTGCTACAGCTTCCCTTCTTGGTAAGCGAGAACCCTTCCAGCTTACCTACTCCGATAAGTCATTTAAGTAACATCATTGTAAATATAAGTTTGCCACGCATGAGAATATCACAAAATTATTATCTTCGTTACAGGTTTCTCACAGTGCACTAAAAAAATTTTTAAAACATACAATAATACCTTTAATAATTAACGACACCGTATTTTAAAAGTTACACACACTATTAAAGTCCACACCGTAAATCACGTAAAATAACGATCTCTAAAAAATGTTAATTTATTATGAACTAGCTATTACAATATAAACAGCTTTCCAAATAAAGATTATGTAATTTTTACCCTCAAATGTAATTCATAACAGTAGTAGACAAACTGATGATTGACCGCTTATCGTGATGTCTTAGATAAATATAACTGACAGTAAAAAAAACTTACAAATACAGTTTTTTAAAAGATCATGTATAATTTATGATTTACGTATACTAACTTGTACTGCGAGATGCCTGTAATCTAGAATTACTGCCTTTGCTACCTTATTATACATTAATATCATACGATACGCAGAGTTTTTTTGTAAAATATATGTATTTACGAATACTACTATGCAGTTGTTGCATACAAATTGTTTATAAAACAACGTGTTTTCACATACTCACTTATATTTATCAGAAAGATTAAAATAAACAATTCCGTAGCGTAAAAGTTTATTATTACAAAGGCAACTTGGTGATAAAATAAGTTAATCTTTGTAGCATAAGCATCAAATTTTAGATGGATATCTAATTTGATAATTTCAGAGTATCCTCATAATGTACATTAAGAGTAATAATTATTTACCTTCAGAAATTCTTTAAACGAGAAAAATATTTCATTAAGCTAATTTAGCGCATCTTGAGTCATATAGTTGTTTTACTATATAATCGTGGCATTAAAAACTATAAGTCTTACACAGCTGAAAAATTAAGGTTGTTGCATGTCCAACGCAAGTTTTTATAGATTCTTGTAATTTTTTTCATACAGTAAACTGTCACACATCATTACTTATTTTGAATCTAGATTAAGATTACCTGGTACAGAGTATACAAAGGTATGAGTATTTTAATCCTGTTTCATGTGCAATCATTTAGGGGGGGGGGCTGTTCATTTCCCCCCAAAAATGTATATTAGATTATTATTCAGTATAGTTTGCTTTTTAACCATTAGAAATATTGATAACTTTTCATCATACATTTATTTCTGTTTCAGTTTCTGTAAAAAGATAGTAAAAAATTATGGAAGCAACTTTATTTCAGAACAAAACATTGCAGGAGGAAATTTAAGACCTAAAAAAGTTATTTTTTGCGTGCATGGTAAACTTTCTGGCTGCTGTACAGTAATCACAGGAGCCAGTAAAAAAAAATCTGTTAGCTATCACCAAGAAAAAAGAATACAGTGTAAGTAATAGTTATAACTTTTTTGCGAACATATTACTTAGTCTTACAAAAAAAATGTTTAAAAAAGCTATTCTTTTTACATAATAGGATTAAAAATTTATGAATTTTTTTTTACTGACATAGAGCCACTGGTAAGACATCTCGAATACATTTTTATACATGTAAGGTTTTATATTATTTAAAATAATTCTACAGAGCATTACTTTAGATTACTTCACAATCTTGTTTTCAACTCTATAATGACTAACTGTTAATGTTGCTTTTTATATTATTTTAAAAAGTGTAAGCCAATGTTACAGCCCCAAAGTGTAATGAGTTTAATTTTTTCCAGTAGATTATAAATATTTTATTCTTTTATATTCAACAACAGTTCTCTTGAGGCCAATTCTATTACATCTGAGCGTTTTTTTATTGTCACTGACCAAGACTTGTGTTTTACTTAATTGACTTGCTTATTGGAAGGCAAATGTTTACTTCAGCGTAGAAACTACTAAGGAAAAACTTAAAATACATATTTTTTAGGAAAAAAATATTTAGTGCCGTTTGTTTTGAACTAAGATTTATAACTAGTTGCGTACATGAACGTTAATGCTAAAAAGTAGAATTTCCCTAAGTTTAACACAATTTTTATTAAAAATTTTTTTTTCAAGTATTTTTGTAATTGGTGAAATTCTTAACTATTCTGATATTAAGACAAATCTCAATAATTGGAGAGCCTAAAAATACAAAGTGCAGGAAATAGGAAATGGTGTACACTCTTCTGGGATTTTTTTCAAAATTGAGAGTTACGTTCTTCTTTTCACAAGGTTATTACTTCTTCTATGTTATCAAAAAAACTATTTTTTAATGCAGAATTACAAGAATTTTGCTGTTCATTAACAAAATCAATGCATTTAAACAATATTTGTTTGCTATCTTCTAAAAAAGTTGTTGTTTGTATGCATGAACTTTAATTAATTTGAACACTTCTTTAGAAAAAAAATAAAATTAAGAATGAACAAGAGGTCAAGAGCAACGGTATTTTTTCATGATAATTGTTCACGTTCAACACCGTAACTAATTTACAGTGTGCAATACATAAATCTACGATATAACAAGCAATTGCATGTGGATAGGATGTGGCTGAGTATAATAACTTATAAATTTTATAAATAAATAATAATTGCTTACAAATTATAATTTCTTTAAACAAGTTATTTATTATATTTTTCATATCGAAACATTAAACTTTTTTTTTCCTTCCAAGTCAAAAACTAGCGTAAGATTCAAAAACTCTTGTCTTGATTTAAATGTAACGTTAAGTAACATTTATTCCCGATACTAACAATTTTCTTCATGATAGTAAATTTTTATTAACTCGTGTAAAACAGTGTTAAGGTGTTTTAGACGTGACATATCAAGAATTTCTGAGTTCTGTGCTTCTTTTCTGTTTCTTCTCCAAGCAGCAGTCAAAACTGATGCATAAATAATTTTCGCCTTTCTACGTATATGTGAAAAATTAGGCGATATAGTATGTTAACGCCATAACTCTGAGAACTAGAAATCCTCACCAACAAGATGTGGGTGTTTAAAATATCTCCCACCAATGAAAAGAGTGTATGTGCCTTATAACTGCCAGAGAAATTAAAAAGTAATCGATAAGACTGATTTATCATCGTAGAGAAATTCACCACGAGATGTTAGCACATAGTATAATAAATTTTTTTTAAACGAATTATAATTTCTTTAATTACAATCGTTCTGAATATTTACTTAATCCAGTCGTCTTAAGGAGGTTCTGGAGTATCATTCAAAGGGACGAGGAAGGGAGAGTCCCCTCTGCCTATGCAGCTTGTTTTTAATCGCAGAAAATATCCGAAGAGATAATATTTGAAAAAAAATTTTAATCATTATATTGATTATATAGTATTTCCGAAAAAAATAATTTAGCAGGTTCTTTTCGCTTTTGTTTACCATCCTTATATATGACTTTTATCAGGCCTAATATTAAATACAGTTGAGACTATTTAAAGAAGTACTAAAAATGTAAAAATTGTGGTTATACTCACTGGACGTAATAAATCTCTCTGATCGTCAATCACAATTTTCAATATTGTATGTGAACAGTCAGATAAATTTTTTTTTATCGATGGCCCAGGAGATGAAAAAAAAACATTTCTATGTAAAACGTTAATTAATTTTCTCATTTTTCGTGAAAAAAAAAATTAAATCTATGGCATGAACTGGCTTAGCATCGATATTACTTTCAAAAGAAACGACCAGTCATGAAATATTTTGTGTATCAGTAGACTGAAACAATGTAAAAAGTTTGTTTTTGAGATTTGAATTTAAAAAAATTAAAAGAAGTAGATTTAACTACAAATGACGAGGCTTCTATGATCTCAAAAAAAGCCTTAGAAATATTTGAAAGAACAATACGTGATTTATGTGACACAGATGTCAGAAATAAAAATAAATATCACAATAAAAATGAAAGGAGAAATAACACCATATTACAGCATAGATCATGCTTCTTACAAAGGTGTTAAAGAATGTGATAATGATATTTATATGAATTTTCAAATTATACTTCTAAGCAATATTCGTTAAGGCTTACCACTGCATTAGCTTCATTTAAGAATTAGAGTAATTGTTATGTTGACACAAAATTTAAGTTTAGTTGACGGGTTATGTGGCAGTAGAACATTACAAATTGAAAAATTACTTAAATACAACATTAAAGCAAAAATTATAACTAGAGAAAAAATTGGAATGAGAGTTTTGGTACCGAAAATACCTCTTAGGACAGGAAATTTATCATCGTTACCTTTTATTTTATTCACAAAACAATTCCCTGTTGTCTTAGCGTTTTTAATGACTATTTATAAATTTCAAAGTCAAATTTTTATCAATGTTGGACTATATTCAAAACAAACCACTGTTTTCGCATGGTCAATAATAAGTCACGTTATTAAGGTGAAAAAATGAAAATGGAATTTATATTAAAATAGACGGTTGTAATAATTTAAAAGTAGAAAATATTGTTTGCAAAAAAATTTTCGACGTTAACTCATCTTAAGTAGATAAAAAGAAATTTAATTACTTTATATTAGTAACAGTATAAAACTGTACGTAATATTCGTACACAGATTATTTAAATAATAAAGAAATATTTGAAGTCAATAAAATTATTATTTAAATATTGTTTCATGACGATGCGCATTATTTGATACATTTCAACAAATAAAATTTGTTTCTTTTTATGGTAAATAGAGCTACGAGCTTGGTCTATGGTTTTAATATTCTAGAAGCTTATTCGTTGTTATTGGTTAAGTATAAAAATATAATGTCATGTTCTTACACATTTTCAATAACGCAAGTAATAAGTTTCTAGAAAGCCTCAGAAAAAAAAAACTAGCGTGACATAGCACTACCTCAATAGTGGTGTGGAAGTGTGCTAATGTGCTAAAAATTAAGGGCTTTCTGAAATCTGTAAGGAAAACTGAGACAGAAGGTGCAAATAGTGATATAACTAGACCTATATAACTTTACCTTATTTAAAGATGTAATTAAAGGGTGACTGGAGGGAGTTCTATAAAAATTGTGTTGGATTATAAAGTTGTAAAGGGTGGACGGAAAAGAATTAAACAAGAATTTAACCCAATAAAAATGAGGAAAAAACTGACAGTATCAAAATGTGCTATCGAAATTATTCAGCTAAAATAATCATTGCATATAAACAAGAAATAATAACGTGGAGCAAAAAAGTGGTAAAAAATGGTAGTTCAAAAATTGTGAGAAGGCTTAGTGTTAAAAAAGTGTAAGGAGAGCTGAAAACGGAGGTTCAAAAAGAAGTTGACCTAAAAATGACTCGATTACTAATACAATTTTACTTCATGTAAGGATGCTGCTGATAGAAGTTATTATAAATTATTATCATAAATTTATGAGGTGGGTGGGGCAGCAGAGCATCTTAAATAAAAATTTAACCCAATAAAAATATATTAAGAAACTTATAGAATTTATTTTATTTAGAAGGTGGCTAAGGACAGTAGAGCAGAGAATGAGGGGTGCTCATCAACATCAAGTGGAGGGCTCAGAGGGCTTAAGGAGGAGTTAAACGAGGGCTAACGAAAAATTTAACACAACTGAAATTACGTAAAACCTGTTAGAATTCTACCTTATTTAGGGGGCTGGGGGGCAGAGAGGGGTTTTAATTGGAAACATTAAACTTTTTTTTTCCTTCCAAGTCAAAAACTAGCGTAAGATTCAAAAACTCTTGTCTTGATTTAAATGTAACGTTAAGTAACATTTATTCCCGATACTAACAATTTTCTTCATGATAGTAAATTTTTATTAACTCGTGTAAAACAGTGTTAAGGTGTTTTAGACGTGACATATCAAGAATTTCTGAGTTCTGTGCTTCTTTTCTGTTTCTTCTCCAAGCAGCAGTCAAAACTGATGCATAAATAATTTTCGCCTTTCTACGTATATGTGAAAAATTAGGCGATATAGTATGTTAACGCCATAACTCTGAGAACTAGAAATCCTCACCAACAAGATGTGGGTGTTTAAAATATCTCCCACCAATGAAAAGAGTGTATGTGCCTTATAACTGCCAGAGAAATTAAAAAGTAATCGATAAGACTGATTTATCATCGTAGAGAAATTCACCACGAGATGTTAGCACATAGTATAATAAATTTTTTTTAAACGAATTATAATTTCTTTAATTACAATCGTTCTGAATATTTACTTAATCCAGTCGTCTTAAGGAGGTTCTGGAGTATCATTCAAAGGGACGAGGAAGGGAGAGTCCCCTCTGCCTATGCAGCTTGTTTTTAATCGCAGAAAATATCCGAAGAGATAATATTTGAAAAAAAATTTTAATCATTATATTGATTATATAGTATTTCCGAAAAAAATAATTTAGCAGGTTCTTTTCGCTTTTGTTTACCATCCTTATATATGACTTTTATCAGGCCTAATATTAAATACAGTTGAGACTATTTAAAGAAGTA